TTTTTTTTCACACCTTTTTGTTTTGCTAAACACCGTAAAACTTCCCTTACCTGGAGCAGTGCAACAATCGTGCAATCTCATCCTCGCCCTGCCAGTGATCACTCTCTCTCTGTGCCTCACAGCAAGACGGCTCAGAATCACCGCACATGAATGCAGCAGCAGGACACACCAAAACATGGCGTGCATTGTCTCCAAGTTGCACTCTCTGCGTTCCTCTTTCCTCCAGGCTCTCCTTCTTCCATGCCAATCCCCATATCCCCTACTCATTTTGCCTGGAGTAACTACAGCATCTCATCCATCCACCCGTCCACCCGTCCACCCGCCCACCCGTCCACCCATCCACCCGTTCACAGTGGGTCCTCCCAGAGAAAACCGACTACACATTTGCTCACTCTGCTGGCCGTCAAGGTCACAAATTGTGCCGGTGCCGGTTTAAAGAATTTATTGCAACAGCAGACCAAGACTAGAACAGGACACCCTCGCATCCCACATTCGTGATCATCACACTTTCCACATACACGCCCCACCCTTGTCCTGCCTCCCCCCTCCCTGTCTCTTATACACATCTAGATGTGTATAAGAGACAGGTGTGTGTGTGTGTCCACAAGTGAAATTTCTCCTCTCGCTGTGTGCAAAATCTCTCCAAGCAGGGCACTGAACTCTTGTGCATAACAATTGTGTGGTCGGAAAGAGGGCGCAAAGCAAAAACGCACACACCAAAACGTAACGCACGCAATACACAGACGCATATAGAGACACACACGCAAGGTGAAAAACATAAAAGACTGTGCCAACCGGAAGCTCAAGGACAAAAAGCAGCATGAACGCCATCAGTTTAAACTGCGGCACATTCACTCTGTACGTCCATTTCCAGACGGCTCTGATCGGCACGAGAGCTCTCTACACAGTGACGGTTTTTGACAACAAACGCTGCACAGCTTATACAAATCAAATTGAGAACAATCCTCTGGAATAGCACTACAGCACCACCCTTATAAACCCTACCTTCCTAAAATGGTAAATTTCAATAAACCCTACTACCTTCCTAAAATTCTGAGACAATCGTCACAAGGATTCACTAAAAACCTCCTCCTGAAGGGCATGACAAAAGAAGGGAAGGGATCGCACCAACCCCTAACAAATGTACAGTATGCAACAAGGCATGGCCTATGGCTAACAAGCAATGTAAAAATGGCTATAATTGCCCACCACACCTTCAACGGCTGTCCGCAATTCTTCACACACACACACACACACATCTCCACACACACACACACACACATCTCCACACACACACACACACACACACACGCATGCCGCCCCAGACACCCACATGCACATGCGCATACACACGCAGATGCAAACACCGACATGCACCCGCATGTACACACAAACACCCAAACACAAGAACACACACGCACGGATACACGTACGCACGCACAACCACACACACAAACACACACACACACACACACACACACACACACACACACACACACACACACATGAACACAAAAACACACACTCACACAGAACATACACACGTACACACACGCCTGCACACACACCTATACACACACACGAGCGCAAACAGACATATGCATGCAAACACACATGGACGCATGCAGACATGCTTCTTTCCATGTGGCAAACGAGTACAAGACACGCATGACAATCCACTTTCCAGCACTGTTGCAGCCGACAGACTGCTGAGCATCAACTACTCAGCCAGACATGAGACCGCTCTCTTAAACGAACCAGGAATTCCATGCGCATCCCTCCCACCCTACATAATACCGAACCTGCCCGCCAATCCCTCATTTCCTCCCACCATAGGAAGACAATCCCTCATTTCCTCCCACCATAGGAAGACGAGACGGTTTATCTATCCGGCACCCATGCACTCATCCAGCACTAAGGAGATGATTGTCTTTGCGAGGCAGTCTATCCTTCCTTCCATACATAGAGGTGTACATACACCCGGAGAATCGGACGGCCCTCGTCCCTCCATCCACCCATTGCGAGAACTGTGTATTGTTATTTCTTTGACAAACATTCAGGCCTGTTGCACACTCTACGGACATCGCTCCGCTTCTTCATAAAAATATGACAAAACCACAGTCGATGTTCGCATCGACTGATTCTACAATCAATTGCACATTTGATTGGACGGTACTCCCACCCGACACATGCGAACAAGTTTGCGAAACTAATGGAGATGAACACGATGATCAATACAACGACTCCGTAACCTTCGGACTGCTTTTCTTTGCCAGAACAGAGAAAAGCGACGCAGAACGGAGTGGGTGGGTACTACCTACTCAGTCATAGCTCGCGGGAAAAACAGGATTTAAGCCCGCGACTTCTGGCGTGACAGACCAGCACTCTAACAAGACACACAACAGGTCGATACTACCAACTCCGCCGTACCTCCGCGGAAAAGACGGGATAGGACCCCACGCGACTTCTGACGTGACAAACCAGCGCTCTGACCAGACACATATCAGGTGGTGGTGGGTACTAAGTACCCCAGTGTTTGAAGAATAGGAAAAAGGGTACAAGACACCAATGTCGACGTTCACATCGACTGCTTTACTATGCCTCTTGCGATCATTTGCGTCGTCTCTTGCTGTCCCACTGTCAAACTCTCCGCAATCGTTTGCGCCGCCGTCTCTTGCTGTCCCACTGTCAAACTGTATCTCACAGAAGTCACCTTACGTCACCATCAGTCTTTATCCGTCGACATCCCAAAGACAGGCTGTATGTCGCAGTCAGCAGTCGCCCAAACCCGGGAGATGACGATCGATTGGATCTGTGTGGGGTGACGGACAATTTATCAAACCTGTGGCTGGGACTTTATCAAACCAGCGGCTGACGGTATAGCAGCTAGCTGGCATTAGACAGAACACTGTAGACTGTAGACCATGAGAACCGACAAGATCAACCACCGCTATGCTCGCCTTTGACAGGCCCGCTAAACCCGATCAGCAGTATCGCTGACTGTTCCGCACATCCACAGGACTCTGCACCCACCATCGCAGTCCGATCCTGCAACAGCATCAGTAGCAGCAGAGGAGGAAGATGTTATGGACAAGAAATATTGCATCAGCTGCCCCCCCCCCATTCAACAGTGCCAGCAGAACAGACAGGTGAAATTCCCACCCCCACTGAAAAAGAGCATGAAGAAGGAATACATGCAATGACCCTGTCAAGTGGGTGTCATGGGATAAGGGGGGGCATGAACTGTACATACATCAATCCACACTTCGGGAGAGCCCTCACTCAATCGATCAACATATACATCCATAAACTGAGAGAGAGAGAGAGAGAGAGAGAGAGAGAGAGAGAGAGAGAGAGAGAGAGAGAGAGAGAGAGAGAGAGAGAGAGAGAGAGAGAGAGAG